AGAGGTCACATTTATGACCCAATCATCATCAAACTTGGTCAGGATGTTTGTCTAGGTGATAGCTCGGATGAGTTCAAACATGGGTCATCTCGGATGAAAAAATAGGTCACAGGAGCTATTAATAGAAAAACCTTGTGAACACTCTAGTGGTCACATTTTTAAACCAATCATCATCAAACTTGGTCAGAATGCTTGTCTAGTCAATTGCTTGGATGAGTTCGAACATGGGTCATCTCTGATGAAAAACTAGGTCACAGGAGCTAAAAATAGAAAAACCTTGTGAGCACTCTAGTGGTCACATTTTTGACCCAATCATCATCAAACTTTGTTAGGATGCTTGTTTAGATAATAGCTCGGATGAGTTCGAATATGGGTCATCTCGGATGAAAAACTAGGTCAAGGTCACCGGAGCTATGAATAGAAAAACCTTGTTAACACTCTAGCGGTCACATTTTTTCATCAATCATCATCAAACTTGGTCAGGATGCTTATCTAGTTGATAGCTTGGATGAGTTTGAACATGGGTCATCTCGGATGAAAAACTAGGTCACCGGAGCTATAAATAGAAAAACCTTGTTAACACTCTAGCAGTCACATTTTTGCCTCAATCATCATCAAACTTGGTCAGGATGCTTGTCTAGGTGATAGCGCGGATGAGTTTGAACATGGGTCATCTCGGATGAAAAACTAGGTCACCGGAGCTAAAAATAGAAAACCCTTGTTAACACTCTAGAGGTCACATTTTTGCCTCAATCATCATCAAACTTGGTCTTGATGCTTGTCTAGGTGACAGCTTGGATGAGTTTGAACATGGGTCATCTCGGATGAAAAACTAGGTCACAGGAACTAAATATAGAAAAATCGTGTAAACACTCTAGTGTTCACAATTTTGACTCAATTGTCATGAGACTTGGTCAGGACACTTGTCAAGGTTATTGCTCGGATGAGTTCGAACATGGGTCATCTTGGATGAAAAACTAGGTCACAGGAGCGAAAATAGAAAAATCTTGTTAACACTCTAGTTGCTACTATTTTGATCCAAATATCCTGTAAATTGGTCTGAAAGTTTGTTTTGATGATTTCTAAGTCAACATGGGTCACCTGGGTACAAAACTAGGTCACACTGCTCAAATATGGATAATCCTTGTTAACACTGTAGTGGTCACATTTTTGACTCACCTGTCATGAAACTTGGTCAGAATGCTTGTCTAGGTAATTGTTCGGATGAGTTTGATTGGTCAGGTGAGCGATCTAGGGCCATTATGGCCCTCTTGCTTGTGAACGACTGGGATAATGAACCGTAAAATTATGATTACATTTTGTAAATGCAGCTTTAATTTCAGCTACTGTTTACATCCCTAGCACCGACTTTAGAAGAACTTGTCTTCATTCACACAGATGGTTCAAATATGACTTCAAGAGAAACTTAGACGAATTAATGACAAAACTATTAAAATGATCTTATTTACTCCAATCGCGCTAAAATGACATTTTAATCACTATATATGTTGAACGAAGTTTAGACGCCAACAGAATCACCGAGTAGTTTTAAAACAAGTCATGTGACTTGAACAAACCCTTGAAGTTTAAAAAACAAATATTGTTGGTATTGTTGGATTAAAACAAGTCTTAAGCATTCGTATGACATGTTCTTTAACGTTTCCAGAGATCCTTGTGACCGATATTGCGAAATCATAAAGCTTTAACCGGACCAACGTTGTAAAGCTAAGAAACCACCATTTTGTTCTTTATATGGAGAAAAAGTTTGTTCCTGTAACTGCCTTGTGTATTCATTTTTACGGCATCTATAGAACAATTAATGAAATGATGTTTAGCTGCAAGATGCAACGCTGTCTTTCCAAATTCAATTTGTTATGAGATGATTACTTTTTTGTGAACGACAGAGCTAATGAAAAGGAAACTATGTTTACATATTTTTAATGCAGCTTTAATTCCAGCTACTGTTTACACCTCTAGCACCGACTTTAGTAGAACTTGTCTTCATTCGCACAAAGGGTTCACATATGACTTCAAAGGGAAACTAAGACGAATTAATGACAAAACTATTAAAATGATCTTATTTACTCCAATCGCGATAAAATGACATTTTTAGTCACTTTATATGTTGAAACAAATTTATACGCCAACAGAATCACCGAGTAGCTTTAAAACAAGTCATGTGAATTGAACAAACCCTGGAAGTTTAAAAAAAACAACAACTATTGTTGGTATTGTTTGATTGAAACAAACCTAAGTCATTCGTTTGGCATGTTCTTTAACGTTTCAAGAGATCCTTGTGACATAAAATGCGAAATCATAACGCTTGAACCTGACCCATGTGGGTTAGGAAACCACCATATTATTCTTTATTTGGAGAAAAATTTTGTTTCTGTGAATGAAAAATTCAAAACTTACAAATGGAAATTTTCCTGTGTCTCCCTTTATAGGGCTCAAACATGCAGAATAAGTAGCAACTGATTGATGAAACTAAAAGTACTGTTCAAGTTGTATTACTCTTGATATTGAAGATGTACACCAAATTATAATTGTATGACCTTATTTCATGTTGTAAGTATTAAATTTTTCTTTGAATTTAAAATGATTTAACATTATATTCTTGTTATATATTTACATTTTTCTCTTTCTTACGTCTATTTAATTCACATAATATCGTTTTTTAATTTACTGATATTTTTGTTTCCAAATTTAACGTTAACGTTTGGCGCGGCTTAAGACGCCGCGTTACGTCATATTTTTATCTGGCGGAAATGCAATGATCATAACAAATTTAAAAAACGTTCATACTTGTAAGCATCACGACGAAATATTTAAAACGCCGCAATAGTTGGTATGTTTATTCATTTGTTTAAAAATGGTAATTTATATTAGGATTTCATTGAAAATAACTTAAATAAGATTATTTAAGTGTACTGTAATTATTTAAGTAAAATATGTTTAATTTATTTTAGAGGTAAATACAAATGTTTTGATTGATGATTAGATATCTTTTGTTTGTACGTTTTTTATGTTTTGATACAATTATCTTTGTATTTCATGTAATGATTTATTTTTATTCTCTTTTGTACAGAGAATCGTTTCACGTTTCACGTTTCCCATTTCCCGATTACGTTATGTGCTGACAACAAATAAACGCATTCTCACTAATACTGGCGTCGGGTGTTTATAGTAAGATATATTTTAGATACTTTAATGCTAGATATATGATAGATATTTTTATGCTCGAACATCGATGCACAATTTTACTCAATTTACCCAAACTTCAAAACAAAATATTGATTAACTTACAAAAGTAAATCACCTTTTTTCCTATAAATAACACTCTTATAAATACATTAACATATATTTTGTAAACCTAACTGAAGACAAAGTATTTGTATTTTTACATGATTTAATATCTGTATTATGTCTTCTTGGGCCTTGACCACATGATGTGTTAACATTGTTTTTGACATCCATTTCCATGCCTTTTTGTTACGAGAAGTGATTAATTTATTATGAAACAGTTTTAAAACCTGCTTTATTATTTATTGGAATGAGTTTTATTGCAAAATATTCTAGGGTCCATGGCAAATGTAAAACATTCTACACATTTTTGGTCAGCTTTTTTAAGATGAGAAAGTTAATGGTCATTTAACAGTATGAGTTAAGCTAGAGTCTTGATGGAAAAATATATCATTCTGTTTTCAAAAAAAAAATCGCGGAACATCTTTTTAGAGAAATTGCTTTAGAACTTTGTCTATGTAATATTTTGCATTGACTTTTACCCCTTTATTGATAAAAATTAGAGATGAATTGCCGTTGTAACTTACCCTGGCCCAAATCATAAACCCAGGTGCTCGTTTTACATACTTCAGTTTGTTCAGGTCTGTCTCCGTAATTAACGCCCATATCAAACATATACTCATCTGTTGTGACAACTGTTTTCCTTTTTTACAGTTAAAAACGGAGATGTAGACGCCATGATTGAGCACATTGTTTCAAATCTGGGCCCCACTAATCCTATGAACACGGCACGTTTTCCTGAGTTTTGCTTTTAGAACTTTTGTCATAACTCTGTTAACAGTGCCTAGAGACACACATTTATTTAGCTGTCATGTCTCCTTGTGGGGAAGGATGTTCAAACGTATCATTTTACGTTCGACGTCAGCAGTAGCTGCTATGCGACGGTTGGTAAAATAATCACTTTTACCTGTTGTGCGTATGTTATTAAGTATTTTGCATGCGATTCATAGAGGCAGCAGAAACATTATGCCCTATCTTTTTACTTGTTTCACAATCTTTCTGTTGGACATTTTTTTTTTGCTTTAAAAATCCTAAAATAATGCTCTCAAGTAAAAAAGTTTAAGCATATTGAATTTTCGATTTAAATGAAATGTGTATATGTATGATAGACTACTTCATATGAATCAATCACTTTGCAGGAGTTTTTGTAAGCTAAAAAATATAATAACTTCTTTTGATTGTGTTTCATAATAAATTGAACATCTCACGTAGGTACAATTCTTACAAATGGTACGTGCTGGTCCGATATTTATCTTTGAAAGCACTATGTCGATATCAATTATTTTACTTACTTGGAGTTTATTTTTGCACCCGAAGTCAAAAGTTTCTTAACGACATTGACATGTTTGATTGCGTCGTGAAGTGCTGTACGTTTTAATTTGTCCTTCACATACATCAGCTTCGGTGCTTTCTTAATCAAATGATCTGCAACACTTTGTAATAAAATAATTGGTTTTGCTAAATATAGATAAAATTGAAAATATTTTTTAATTCATTATGAAAAAAATCCCAAGGTCCATCATCTTAATATTTTACTGCAAATAAAAGTGTTAAAAATGACTTAATGTTTTTGTTGTACTTAAAGCTATAATTCAAAAATTAACTTAATTGTTAAGTGCTTGAAATAAAACGACGTAAAAAGGATTCATAATGGAAAAATCAAAACAAAAAAACCCAACTTGGTTGAAAAGTAACAATTACTCAGCTCTTCCTTTTGCAGCTGCAAGATGCAATGCTGTCTTTCCATTTTCGCCTTTTGTACATAAATCTTCTTTTGTCATCGGTTTCATCAAAATCTAAAAACAGCATTTTATAAAGTACGAGGGTTGTCCCAAAAGTCCGTGACAAATTTTACAGCCGGTTCATTTTTAACACCAATAGAAAATAATTCACACATAAAACCGTTAAGTTTATTATTTAACATTACAACAAATCATTTTCAAAAAAATTACCCTAGTTACTTAGAAATTTTCAGTATTAACGACATTGGTTTGAGTTGCCGGCGCACGTCAAATAATTTTCATTTTGTTATGAATAGGCTGAAATTAATAACGTATATTTCAAATATCTGATGATGTGTATGCACAATGTCATGTTGACTTCCTCTGCTGCTATGTTTAAATCATCTCTGAAAATTTTAGTTTAATAACTTAAAAAACGAAAAAGATACGAATAAATGAAAATATTGCATATAAAATAGGAAAGTTAAAATGGCGACGTTCGAAGAATTTGCGGCGCAGTAAACATGTCACTCAGGTTTCATGACTATTTCGAGATGACACATATAACGATTTTCAACAAATTTACCAAATATAACAGTTTAACAACATATTCTGAGCATTTGTGTACAAAAGGCATGAACGGAACCAGAGTTTTGCGCTACAAAAAGCGAAAATAAGGAAAACACGGATAGGAAGACCGATCTTTGTCGCCTATTTCCTACAGCTAAAAACAGGAGTAACGAGACCGGAAGTTCGCGTATAGCAAAAATTAATGTATGCCATCCAAACATTCAACAGACATTAACAACCACATGATTTAAGTCAGAAATTGACGATTGATGGGTACCATTATTGCGTTGAAAGCCATTGAGAGTATTTGAGAAAGGCGCCTTATATAGATTTAACGCCATCTTTGACGTTGGACGTGCGCCGCGATTCAGTAAGTTGCCATGGTGTTTATGGCATATTTTTGTTGTTTGTTGATATTTATCTATGAAAATTTATGAAAATGTTTAAATTATATGGGGTTATAACATATTAAAATATCAAAGTAGTACCTGTTTTATTTAGCTTTTAATCAATCTTGTCACAGAATATTGGGACAACCCTCGTATATCGTACCTTGTCACATCACAAACAATATATTATTTTTTCGCTTCAATCAAATTTATTTTTGATAAAGAATCAATTATAATAATACCTTTGTAATGTTTTCAATAATTATATTTATTTTTATAACGGTTATCAACTGACCCTCTTCATTATCCACTTCTTTGGTGCATATTTTATTAATGATGTCATCAACATTAAACTGCCTTCGATATCATATTCATTAATCATACTTTTTTGAAAATAGAATGGTTGGTTTTTTGTATCTTCTTTTCACAGAAGTTATTTTAAAACAATATTTGTTTTTATAATTCTCTAATAGGCATGTTAAGATTTTAGTCCTTAAAACCATCTCTTTTAGTTAGAAACATATGCTTTCAGAATCCCTACCATACTTATAATATGAATTTAATACATGTATACAGTTTTTGGAGCCCTTTGAATGTCCAAAAATATTATCTTTATATATAAACAGTCGTCAATAAGTCAATATGTATTAAACATATTTATTATCCTTTAAAGGTTTGCATATCAACTGAATAAGCACACCATTTGTCATTAAGATCATTTACTATTACTCCCATTTTCCTTTGGTCTAAGACTGTCCTATACCAGTTTGACCTTTTGTTAAATTTTCATTGAAGAACTGAATATTAGTACAATTTCAGTGGTCATTTTTAAAATGAAACTGAAACCTTGGAATCTTATTGGCCATTCTAAAATCAGTCCAGTGATATAAGGTAACTTTCTGAAATGGTATAAACGTACATTTCAATTAATATAAAGGGTCCGGAAAGAGACTTTCGGAATTTGAAGTTATTTCACTTTGTAGTAATTGTGCTCAGATATTTAGTTTCGGTTAAATCATGTTCACTTCCAAAAATAATTTAATTAAATGATTTTTTTTAAAAATCATTAAGTGTTTTGCTGTTTCCATCCAGCTCCCCTACCTTTATTAGTTGATGTCTTTATGTAGTTTCAACCTTGTTTGTAATTGACTCCTTTTTCACTGGTCGGTTATGTTTTGTACACATGTGCGTTGGAATAGCAATGCGGCCTGATTTCAGTCGATTCCATTCATTAAAAGCCTTTAGTGTTTACAGGTCTATTAGTTTAAATACAATATTCTTAATCAACAGAAATATAATTTTAGCCAGTGTTTAATGTTTACTACGGAAATAGCTTACAGGTATTCTAACCCAATTATGGATATATTTACTGCAATTATACACTTTCATGTATATATGTAATGGACCTAATATACCACTCTCACTCGAATGCTAAATGTGACTTGTTCGTTATTAAGCAGTTATGAACTAGATTATTTATATAATGAATTATGTACAATATGTTTGTGTATATGTATATGATGTGAAACTAAGTAATTTAAGTCAATAAAATGTTCTTCTTCTTTTTCTCCTTCTTTAATGAAACATAAATAATATTGGTATTTTTTCTGCAGTCGTGCTCAAATCACTTCGTCTTAAGAATAATGTGTAGTCAAAAATAAAACGTTACATATAAGTATGTTGACTGATTACTTTTTTAATCATAAAATACATATTTTAAATACAAAATAAAAACTTTAAAAATAAATGCAAGTTTTACCACACTTGCTCACACTTGCTTATTAGTGTATCTTTAGGGTAAACGGTTATACTAGCTATTACTCTTGTCATTGGAAAAAAACTTTAGTAAAGTTAAGTAAAGAGACCAGCGGTAACAGTTTTGATCCCGTCAACTCATGTGCTAGAAAATATCGAAAAACAAAAACAAAAGAAAACACAAACACACAAAAAGAATAAATCTTGATAAGTGTTTACTCCAAAAGTTCATTAATCGATAAGTGTCCAACACTGTGCATGTTTATGTATACGATTTAACTCGGACACATTTTCAACAGAAAGGTCCCCAAATTATGATACAAGTCCTATTTAAAAGATTTACATAAGAGTAAAATGTACGAATAAAATAAGTCAGTGTACATTATTATATTTTTGTGTTCAGTCTTAACTAATGGATAAAGGAGTGGTATTGTATGGGAATATAAATAAATATAGTTTTGGATTGGTCAATATGGTTTTAAAATACAATTAATAACATTTTTGATAATTATCATTCTTTACAATCATATATCACTTTCAAAAAATAAAACATTTCGTTATATCAAATTATAAAAAGCAGATACATGCATCTATAAAAAAATGACATCTGTCGAAATAAAAAGAACATAGGTCGAATAGAAATGATCTCGTCTGATTCAGAGCTTCTGACTGTGTTTTTTTTGGTCGGAATATCGCTTTTAATACGTCGCTAAAGTTAGATATTGCCCATAGAAAAAAAATGAAAAAACCGGTAACTCATCGATAGTACAGTTTATTGGACTAACCCTACTGAGCTCTGCGTAACTTTTATTGTAACTGCCCTAGATAAAAACTGGTAAGATTTCGTCATGATATCGAATATTGGTTTGTATTTTTTTCAATTTATTCTTATTTATTTATAAAATGAGAGCAGAATATAGCGGCATATTTTATATTTAAATATTTGTCATAGGTCTTGCTTGCAAAGAAATGCTTTTTGCATCTAAAACAGCTTCTCTATATTTTATCTAGTGCAAGATATATTTTGAAAATGTAAAAACCGGCCGGGGATATCATTGCAATGAGCTTGTTTCATATGATGGCGCATATGTATTTGACAAAAATCAATAAAGGCGAATGCTTGCATGAATTTATCCGATTTTAATGTAAGCGTGTGTGCGCAATTTGTATGCAATAGGCGTCTAAAGTAAAACGCTTGTACTCTTCATTTTATGCGTAATTGGAAGAGAATGTGTTTTTAAAAACTCTCTTTAGTTGCTGCAAATGCCTAGGGATTTTAAAAATAATTTAACATTGTTTTGGTTTATTCTTCACCGGAAGATATTAAATCCGAGCTATGACGGGTTCTTGTTCAATGAACCTGATAATTGAGCAATGTTTCAAGAGGCCAAACTAAGGAATATACTTGTATTGTTTCATCATTATTTAACCAAGCAGTACAGGAAAAGATGTTGTTCAAGTACAAATGTAAGCCCCTGGACGACGTTTACAGCTTAATTTCCGTAGCAACCCATAAGCACTTCGTGTTCTGCAAGCTCAGCTTAAAATTTCAGAGTAACACTTAGCACCTGCTGTTGAGATTATAAGCATACAGGAAAAAGGGAAATACCTCTAGAGCAACAAGAACTGTCGTAGGAAATATACAAATGCCCCCAGCCTCCAAAGCAGGACCCATCAGAGGAACAATGACAATGCAACAAAGTCATGGTTAATATAAAACACGTGCTGCCAGAATATAGGAACACTCTCACGTTTATAGTGAGCCCAATCATTAAAAAATCAAGAAAGGTCGTGCGCAAAATTATTTTAAAATCCATCAAGGAATGGCAGAATTGTTGAGCACACACAATCATCATTCAATTTTTATGAAAATTTCATGACCTTCGATGTAGGGACCCAATTCTTACGACTTCACATCATTATTTTGCTCAACACATTTATGCATAATAATTATGAAATTCATTCCGGAATTACATACTTGTTGACAGTTGACGGGACGAGATCGTGACTGTGCTTTTACAAACATTCATATCATTCCTTTTATCTACAAGCGTGACCTTGACCTTTGAGGTTGAGACCCAATTGTTTATTTCCATTATGTCCAAGACACTGTTGCATAATAATTTTTAAATACACCTTTATTTAAGAGGTGTTGTTCGGACATGAACTTTAGTGTTTTTTATTAAAACGTTCTCTCGAACCGTGAGTGTGTCATTGACCTTTGGGCTTCAGACATAAATGTTTTATATGACACATCGTCCCAATTTGCTACAGGTTGAAACAAAATTACTTTTAAAATCCATCTATAACTGACAAAGTTATGAACCGTACAATGTTCGGATGGAAAGAGGGTAGGATTGATAAAAGGACGGAGGGAATGACAAACGGATTGTCGGACGCTACAAGACTATTTCCCCCTCCAATAATCAAAAAAGTAAAAATGTCTATTTGATTGATTCTGGTTATGACAGAAAATGGAAAAGAAGCATTTTTTTCCAAAATGTAATAATCTTCTAAAGGTTATAGTAAATTTTATCAATACATATTTCCTATATGTTAAGGGTTTTTATGCAAGAATTCAAATTAAAAAGGCCGGACGATATGATAAGTACCCTTTTAAGTACATGTTTTCTGTTCGTTTCCTTACCATGAATTCAATGAATAACACAACACCACAGAAAGAAAATCAAGAAAGAAAAAACATTGTCTGAATGCAGCCCCAAATATACCCATCCAAAGAGGAACTTGCGAAAATGTCCCGGATAGCACCATATGAACCTGAATACCACTTAAGTACGAGTATTGTATCTATTATTGTACTGTTGATTAAACCATAATTGTATTTATAAACGATAAAGAAATACTTACAATTAAACATTCCAAGTACCCCTTTTCTGCAGCTACATGAAAGGGTTCTTTGTCATGTTTTGTTTCTTGGGACATGTCACCAGTAGTCTGTAATATATTTACATTAGGTTTTACCAGTTTGAATCATTGCTTCACTCACTCTTTATTTTCATTGTCATATTACTTAAAATCAAAATCTAATATTTTACATAAAAGTCCTTTGTTACACTTATTGTTTTATGAAATGAGGCATGGGAGCTGTTGTTACTTCAAAGAAGGTCAGATACCTATGTTAATGTATCTGTATCTAATATCTGTATCAGTATCTAAGAAAATAATTTTAATACTAATAAGACTTCTATTTATTATCGAATAACCTATCTAAGCCGGCAAGAAACAACACAGTAATAAATATGATTGATCGTTAGTTTAAAAAAATGAATTTGTCTCGTAATAGATATGATTATAAAATTGAATTACATGGCTTACATGCTGACAATATCGATCAAGAAGCGGTCAAAGACCCTGAACAGGACAAACGTAAAGAAAAGATGATAGAACAACATTGACATTCAAATTCACACCAAAGTGCAAAAATGTATAAAGTGATGTGAGTGCAAACATTGATTTAAAACCTAGACGAAAATTAAGGAAAAAGCAATTGATGAAAATGAATAAAAGTTTTTGTTTTTGTTTTTTTATTAGTTTCATTTTTTAAACTATTGTCCTGCAAAAAAAGCTTTAAAATAAAAACTATAAAAATTTGAATGGAGTGTCGTTTTTCTTGTTTCACTTCATTCCTCTTTATTACGATATACACTTCAATGAAGTTTGAAATAAAGTTCTCTTAAACTTTATGAGATTTGGGCCTTGAACGGATATTATGAAAGGGCATGAACAAAAATTATTATAGTAAATAATAACATGTATTATTTTTGCACACAGAAATTATGCGTCACTGACATTTATTCACTCAGTTCTGTAAGAAAATCTATAATAATCTAAGCAACCATCAGGGCGAGACCAATTTTACCCAATCAGCATGATTTATATACCTTGTAAAGCGGTAAACGAGGTATTGCTACATGCTAAATCTTTCAGTTGTGGGCATTGGTGATTGACATATGAATATCTAATATGAATGTCTATATAAGTATATTCAAACTATATAATCTAAAAGGTCATACAGCGGGCTGAATTTTAACAAAAAGAGCCCGAGAGGATTTATATTGCACGTGCATATTATAAATTGTCTAAACTAAGTGTTTCACATGGCAAATGTTGACCGCACAGGGTAAGCTTTATAAATTTGTAAACCACCCGATATAGCTACATGCTAAATAATTAAGCTCTTGGCAATGTAGTTAAGAAGAAAATACATACGATATCAATAGAATATGAGTATCTAAATTAAGTTACATATAAGTAGGGGGTATTTGTGACCCGAACAACACGATTAATCAAAATTTTGCACAGATGTAGATAGCAATGCTACATGCAAAATAACTAAACTTTTGGCATTGTAGTTTAACACAAAAAGGTTTCAATGTGTTTTCCCATAATAATCTTTGTAAAATAAATGACCACGGGTATGGGGCAAAATCTGACACAAGAATCACAATAAATATCACAAGTTGGTACTATATGCCTTATTTCTATGCTCTTGGCATCGTTGTTTTGAGGAGAAGATTTAATGACAGGTTAACTATATTATTCAAAAAATCTTAAGGGATCCAAGATTGACCAATTGAATCCAAAGGAATTGCTTTATACATAATATAACTTTACAAGGTGTTTTTATAATTACATCTTTATAATACTTTCCTTATAAAATTCTATAGTTCGTACATTTATTCAGATTCATTATAAATGATTACATTCAACTTAGAGATATTAATTTCAACTCAAGTCACATATTCAGTTCCTTTGTAATTGTAATAAATGACAATTTTATATATGAATTTATACTTAAATCTTTAATTTACTGACATGAAACAATAATAGAAATATCAAAATAAATAAGATAAAATAAACCAACAACCAACCACTACTTACCACAATGAACGTAAAAAGAATTGTCATTGCCGATAGGAAGATATTTACAGATTTGCTGGATCTATGGATAATTCAAAATCCAATTTTTTATTTATTTATATTCTTATTGGATTTTTTATTTTTGAAAAGCTATTTTTTTATTCTAATTTTAAGAAATTTGAAGAAACAATAAATGTAGGCATTTTTTTTATTTACAGCATTGCAATAGTGGCATACTTTGCGTCCTACGACTACTCCTACGTTTTTTCTTTCATTTAGTTGAACTTCTACACACTTTAATTTCACATTCTATTTTAACTTCATTAAGAAACCTGGATGTATGAACACATGACTAAAAAGGTGTTCAATGCTTTTGTTTTCTACATTACAGTTTGGACATAGCGGAGAATCATTTGAATTATGTTTATATAGGCACTAATTAAGCAGTAATATTCTAAGTAAAATTCTGAATTCAACATCGTGCCAACTCCAATAATGTGAGGTATTTGTTTTGCCATAATCATTGTCCAGAAGAAGTAAAAAGCAGAAAATAATTTTATCAGCATTCGTATAATTTTAACATGAGTTTTGGTAAACATGATCAATGTAGAAATAACAAATACCTGATTCTGATTTGATTGTGTTCCTGATTCTACACCTACATCCGTAGCAGCATCCTAGAATTTTACGATGAAGATATTATTTTTTATACAATATTATGAGCAAGAAATAATATACCTGATTAGATTCTGATTCTATACCTTCGTCTGCAGCTACATTCTAAAATGTTATGATAAAGGTATTATTTTTATATTGCAAGTGATATATCAAGAATTAAATTCAATCTGGTGTATGAACTTCGTTTCAAATTTAATCATTCAAAGTCATTCATTACAAATGATCGTTTTACGAAAAAGTGTTCGCAATCACAAAAAAACATTATTTTATTTATTTTACCTGGAAAGTAGACAAATTAAAACAGTAAAATACTAACTCAATCCATTTCCACAATAGTTCTGCCTGTGCCGTGTGATGACCGAGATCACTTTGTATGCTCTTCTGTTGAGGGTATTAAGTTACATAATCTAATAAACACTGTAGATCAGTAAAACACAAAAATAAATTTTATCAATTCTCGTATTATTTTTCTATGTGTTTTGGTAATGATCATGATCAATGTAAAAATAACATATACCTGAATCTGATTTGATTGTGTTTCTGATTCTGCACCTTCATCCACAGCTTTTTTCTTAAATTGTACAAAAAGGTATGCCTTTTTTAAAAGTGCTAAAACAAGAAATAACTTTAATCTGACGTATAAACTTCGTTTTGAACTTAATTATTCAAAGTCCTACAGATAGTTGTTTAACGAAATTGTGGCAGAGCTAAGGTGTCAACAACAAGAAGAATGCATTGTTTTCTATTTCACAAATGAGACATATATATAGCATCTAATAACTAAATCCATTTGCACAATAGTTTTGCCTGTGGCGTGTGATGGTCGAGAATCGTCTATCATAACCAAGTTGTAACATGCATAGATCACATTGTATGCTGTTTTGTTGAACGTTATTAAGTTATATCTGATATACACTGTTTTATATTTATAGATCAATAAAAAACAAAATTAAATTGTATCAGCTTTTGTATAATTTTTCCAAGTGCTTTGCTAAACATGATCAATGTAGAAATAACAAATACCTGAATCTGATTTGATATTGTTTCTGATTCTACACCTACATCCGCAGCTTCATCCTAAAATTGTAGGAGAAAGGTATTCCTTTTAAACAAGAAATTACTTTAATCTGGCGTTTGAACGTTTGTAATTAATCAATCAAACTCCTACAAATAGTTGTTTTACGAAATTGTGGCAGAGCTAAGGTGTCAAAAACAAGAAGAATGCATTTTTCTATCTGAGAAAAGATAAAGATATAGCCTTCAATTACTTAATTCATTTTCACAACATTTCTGCCTTTTTTATGTGATGGCCGTGAAATTTCTCCCGTCACCAAGTTGTCACACGGGCTTTTTTGTATAGATCAGTAAAACACAGAAAATAATTTTATGAGTTTTCGAAACATTTGGCTATGTGTTTTGTTAAGATGATAAATGCAAAAATAGCATATACCTTTATCTGATTTGATATTGTTTCTGTTTCTGCACCTTCAATCGAAGCTACCTGCGATAATGAAAGAACAAGAAATAAATTCAATCTGGCGTATGAACTTCGTTGTGAAGTAAATCATTCAAAAGAATACAAAAAATCGTTTTATGAAATAAGGGCAGAGCTAAGGTGCTTGCAATATAAACATATATTTTGCTTAAATTCAGTAAATAGACGGATATAAACACCGATTACTCAATTGCAACAATAGTTCTGCCTGTGCCGTGTGATGGCCGAGAAATGTCTTCCGTCACCAAGATGTAATACTCGTGTGTATTGTGTATAAACTTTGTTTTGAACTAAATCATTCAAAATAATACAAATAATCGTTTGTTGTTTTTTTGTTACTTGTTTTGTTTTAAATACTGGCAGAGCAAAGTTGTGCGCAATAAAAAAACAACAAAAAAAAACATTATATTTTACCTAGAAAGAAGACAGATATAAACACCGAACACATTAACACCGAACACTCAAGCTATTGCCACAACAGTTCTGTCTGTGCCGTGTGATGGCCGCGAAATGTATCACCTTACCAAGTTCTCATATTGATCAATCACTTTGTATGCTCTTTTTATTTTGTAGGATTAAGTTACATAATATGATTAACACGGATTCCATTTTTATGGATCGGTGCAAAACAGAAGCTTTCTTAAAATGTTGTCATGTGTTTTGGTAAACCTGATCAATGCAGAAATAACATATATTTGAATCTGATTGGATTGTGTTTCTGTTTCTGCACCTTCATCCGCAGCTTCATCCTATAATTTTACGATCAAAATAATCTATGTGATGACAATGTTGAGATAAACAAGAAATAACTTTTAACTGGTGTATGACTAAATCATTCAGGGTCATATAAATAATCGTTTTATAGAATAGTGATTTCATCTTTATAGATTGATTAAAAACATAAATGAATTTTATCAGCTTTCGTATATTTTTTCCACGTGTTTTGGTAAACATAATAAAATAATGTAGAAATAACAAATACCTGAATCTTATTTGATTGTGCTTCTGATTCAGCACCTTCATCCGCAGCTTCACCCTAAGAATTTACGATAAAGATATTCCTTTTAAAAAAATGATTAAAAACAAGAAATAACTGGTGTATGACTTCCATTTTAAAATTGAACATTCAAAGTCATAGAAATAATCGTTTTATGAAAGGGTTGCAGAGCTTAAGAGTCTGAAAGCAGAAAAATAAATATCTTTTTTACCTGAAAATTAGACAGATAAAACCACCTATTACTCGGTGTATGAACTTAGTTCTGAGCTAAATCATTCAAAGTAATACAAATCATCGTTTGTTTGTGGTTTTGATTTTGAAATAGTTGCAGAGCAAAGTTGTAGCCAATCAGAAAATACAAAGTATATTTTACGTACAAAATAGACAGATTTAAACACCGAACACTCAATCAATTGCCACTTAAGTTCGCCAGTGTAGTGTGATGTCCATGGAATGTCTACCGTCTCCAAACTGTTATATTCGAAAGTCGCTTTGTATGCTCTCTTTAAGGAGTGTTCAGTTATAATGTGATAAACGGTCTATATTTTAATAGATCAGAGGCATTAAATCAGATTTAGGATAGTTTTGCCAGTTGTATTGGTAGATGCTAAATTTAAAAAGCATTCAACTTAATCTTATTTGATTTCGTCCCTGTACCTTCACTTTCACCTGACGGTAATGTTTCTACTAATAATATTCAAATTTCAAACAGGAATGCAAATGAAAACATAAGAAGCGTGATAGTCATAAAAATCAGTAACATTCCAAACTACATATTATAATAAAGGACATGATTACATACGATGAGCAAGTTTTTATTAGTGGCACAAACTCATATTATGAGGTTTCATAACCTAAGACCCCCTTTCAAAATTCCATTTTATTTAGTTCCGCCCATTGTTTTCTCGTTTAGGGCACAAACATTCTTTTACTTGGGGACCATACGCCGCTTTTCATGGAATGACACTACTGTGTCACATTGAAGGTTCCATGATAACCGCCGTATGAATACATCTGCGGATGTTTCTAAATTCAAAATTCTACCATTTTCGTGTTAATGTTGAATTCTGCTTAAGCCGGTGCCAGGGGGCGTGGACGGTAGTTTGTATTTTACAGTACCGTCCATGAACAGGCTCAACCAAACCGAGCCTGCAACATTTTACAATTTTGTCGTGTTGGGCTTTCTTTAAGGATTCTGTTTTTCTCTATTTCAATATAACCATGTTTTGCATGTGAAAGTATATGTATAGTATATCGGAAATGTTTTTCTAACCAACAGCCTTTTTTTGCACGATGTGCACGTGAAATAAACTTAAGCAGGTAATTTAAATACATTTGGCCTCATTGACTAGGTTTAAATATCGAGACCCTAGACGCCTGAGAGAAGTTGTCATAGGCGATGAAACATTGTTTATGTTTTTGAGCCTTACTATAAACTTTGGTAGGTGAAAACAGAGATCGACCAGTTGTTGCACGGCGTAGCAGAATTGTAAAAAATGTTATGTAAGGTCGTTTTTATGGCAGTGATTGAAAAGTGTTCCGTGTCGCTGTGTCAAAAGAGGATAGTGTCACTGTAACATTTTACCGTTACCATATACTGAATTGAAACGCTCCTTCCAATGTTTAAAGATTATAACCAAATAACAGTTCCAAAATGCTTTTTCGGAATAGATTTTGTGGCTGAAAAAAGTGTGAAGAGGTCCATAGTGGATATTTTGAATCTCTCTACTTATCATTTTCCACCGGTATGACTTAATTATAAAAATCACGCCGCCGTGGCTGCTTATTAAAATATGTCCCTCGTACATATTGAAATCTCCGTTACTGTTGACAGTTGGTCTTTCACAGAAAACTAAAGAATGGAATTCAAGAAATTGCATATTTCAAATTTTGTATCTTCACTACAATAGACCGCATTATCAGTTCCAAATAAAAGAAAATGTGATTCAATTTAGTGACCCATTAACCATAAAGAGTTTGTTGTTTGGAAACATATATTGTTTTCAACCATCAACTCCAAAGTAAGGGCTACCAAGTCGTCCTAGACAATGAATCATACATAAAGTGAGCGTAACGTCATTCTTATCGACGACGCCAAAGGGCGTTTTAAAGTGCCTCATGCACCCTCCCATGCATGTCTAATTGTAAATCCTTAAAACTCAATTAAATTTCACAGTTCAAATTTTTCTTGCATTTAAAAGACTAACATTTTATCTTTCCTGACGTAAAGTTTTTGTATTAAATTTCGTGCCGTTATATTGGAACTACCATCTTAGTCAGGGAACTTGCAAGATGTGTGATGATGATCAAACCAGTGGCATAATAATAGGCAACGGCAGCGCATTTCCAGCCTAAGAAGCTATTGCGAATAAAAAAACATTTTTGAATTTTTCTTTATGTATACTGTTTACGCGCTTCCGACGGCACTACGGGTTTTGACCGCGAAGGCAATATTTATTGTTTGGATTTAACAAAAAGTCACAAATAGAAAGAGGTCAGGACTATAAACGGGATGTATCAAAAGCTCGATTCCCTGCTCTTCGAAATCATCTTGAACCAAGGTTTGACCGTAGCGAATGTGCATTATCATGGAGTATTTGATCCGGCGCACCTCAGACCTTGGGTTCTTTGTTATGTTGTGATTAATTACAGCACTGCGATGATGGTAATGGTACAAATCCAGATGTGTTTAAATGACCTGCTAAAATTTTATTCCACGTGCAAATCGTGCATTAAGAGATTGTTGGTTAAAAAAATAAAAAAAATCTTCCAAAATATTATTATACATGTACTTTCACGTGCAAATCATGGTTAAATTGAGTTATTTACACTAATTATCTTATGCCGCTTGTATCTTAGTTATGCTGATTATTTTACTTTTAACTATATATGATTGAATAATACATGTATTAAATTGATAACAATTGATAAAATATTATACTCACTTCATCGTCAGTTTCTTCACTCACGAAAGAGGTATCAACGTCTTGATCTTGATCAAGCAGCATCTAAGGTTAAATGAATAATCGTATAAACAAACATTTTAAAATACGGAACGTTTATTAGAGTTTGTGAAAGAATGAATTTCAAGGTACTATAAAAAAAAGTCCGTACTTACTTCTAATACTTTGTCACTGTTTTTCACCGTGGCCAAGTACACAAGATCGTGATAATTGCTTTCAATAACATTGTTAGAGTCTTCGAACCTCTGTATCAAATCCTTAGCGACATTTTTGCTGTTATGTTTTGTAGCTATTTCAAGGGCTTTAAGAAGCCACTCATCACTATGAATTTCAATTGACTCGTCATCTGTAAGGCGTTGAAATACTTCTAAACTGTCGTACCTTATTGCCGTTAAAAGAGGAGTAAACGTTTTAACATCCTGAATAGATACGTCAGCTCCGCTGAAATAAATTTCTGACATACAGATTTTGAAAAAAATGGTTATTAAACAAGATTCTATGTTAAATACTTTTTCTGGGTTAAACTAGACCAATTACTAAATGTGATTAATACACCCTCCAGCAACCTTGACTTATTTAAAAATAATTGGTCTGAAGAAAGATTTGAACTCAAACTATAATTATTGAAGTTTCAACACTGTACCAAAAATTATTTCAAATTAATTGCAATTCTATCTAGCTGTCTTTGTATAAGCTTGCTTGATACTAAATTTAATGATAATAATAATAATAATAATAATAATAATAACACCTTAACTCCTGTCAATTTTGTATTTTAAACTGTGATCTTGACCTTGACCAATGGGGGGCCAAGAGCAATCCGAACTGGCGTCTTCATATTATATTGCTATATACCAAGTTTGATGACAATATCTCATTCCAAACTAAAGTTATTGTCCGGAATATATTTTTCTAGTTTAAGTGACCTTAATCTAGGAGGTCAAAATAAAATCCGAACTTGAGTCTTTCAAAAGCTTGCTATATACAAAGTTTGATTACAATATATCATTCCAACCTCTAGTTATTGTCCGGAAATCATTCTATTTTCCTATTTTGGATACAGTGACCTTTGCTCCAGGGGGTCAAAAACCAATTCCAACTGGTGTCTTCACAAAAGCTTGTTTTATACCAAATTTAATTACAATATCTCATTCCAATCAATAATTACTGAGACCTTTTTCTTGACATTACGGTGTTCAAACAGCAATCCCAACCGAGTCTTTCATATAAGCTTGCTATATACCAAGTTTGGTTACATTATCTTATTCCTAACTCTTGTTATTAGCCGGAAAACCATTTTCTATTTTCATTAACCTTGACTTGAACCCAGGGGCGGGGGTCTAAATGAAACACAAACCGGGGTTTTCATATGAGCTTGCTATATACAACTATTTTGTTAATAATATCTCGTTCCAAACTCTTGTAAGTGTCCGAAAACCATTTCTTCTAAATTAAGTAACAGTGCCTTTGATCTTGACCCCAGGGGGCCTTAAAGCAATACTAACCTGGGTTTCCACATCAGTTGCCATATACCAAGTTTGATTACAATAACTTATTTGAAACTCAAGTTATCGTCCATGAATTATAAAAAAACCGACAGACTAACCGACGACGGACCAACCGAAAAGCTGACGACTACATACCCCGCTAAACTTAATTTGATGGGGTATTCTGACAAATCAACATATAACAAGTAACAAGTACTACTGCGCCGAATACTACATTATTACGTTTTAAGCCTTAAAAGAGTAAGTGCACGTTAATCAAAATGGGTGACTTTAATTTAAGAATGCAAGTTTATGTCCTCATCGATAAGCGCTTAAGAGTGAACTGAGCCTTTCTTTTTGTAAATAAAGTTTCTCGATAAATCAAATATAAAGAACACATGAAAGATCAAGCCATTCAAGAAGGAAATGTTTGCCAGTGAAATATTAATTGCAAGCAATACGAAACGAAACGAAACTGAGGCACTTATAGAAGTCTTGAAATAGTTAGTAAAAGTCATAAAGAGCGAATTTTAGAATATTTAATAAGATGATAGCAAAGATTAAGAAGCGTTTAAGGTCGATTGTCAAGATGTTTTAGGTAATGTTAAATATACAAAGGCAGCAAAGGAACCGTTGTTGATTATGATATTGAAATACGAAAAGTAAATTCATCGAAGCAAAGCAAGCTAGGAGGAAGATGGAAGTACATAATTAAAAAAAAAATAATATGACATCCCGCAAGCTCATAGCCTCGCAAAATCAAAATAAAAAAACGTAACTTGCCAACCTAACTTATTGTTAGAAAACAATACTAGTATATTTTATCCATATTTTCAATAAAGTGTGTCACCTGCATATGTATTTTAAAGATCAGTTGTGTTTTCAGATATATTATGAGAAATGTTAGACTATGAGCCGAACAGTAATTGTAAAACAAAATAAGTCCAGGACGATATATTTGTAAAACCTGTTGTCAAATAACCGAAACTTCTGTCTAATTCAAACGAAACAAAAAGCAAATAATCAATCCATGTGGCATAACAAAAAGTTTTGAACATTTAAATATATGTAAAATAAAACTCCGAGAAGTCAGGCCGATGGAAGTGTTGAAACTTTATACGTATATTTATAAGTGGAGAGGAATATAAAATGTATTGTATTGTACAAAATCAATTATTCAAACAAATACAATTAAAAAAACCTAAAGACGCTATTTTTAATGCATAACCTTTCTAGGCAAAATTTAGACATGCATGGTTATACTAATAGACATAATTGAATTCCAATAGAAAAATTGAAGAATAACACGCTCTAAAAGTGTGTTCAACTTGGCGTAAAGTCAAATAACAATGATTCTGTGATTGTCGGATAAGAATTGCAGCATTTATTTCACTTGTGAACTGTTTAATGGCGAAATTACTCACACTAGGGTTCTTTGAGTGTTTAATCGTTAAAGATGTGTAAAATATGTACCTATCGACAACATTGAGGAAATTACTGCTGATATGATTGTTCAATATAATATTAAGAAGCGGCCAAGACGTTACTTGATGTATATTTCCAGATCACTGGAGTTATTTAGTTTAAACAAAATTTATTTGTATCCTCTTCGTTTACGTAAAATATTTTTTTGCGGATTGAGTAAGAAGCTTAAATTCATTTTTGAAAATAGTCTGGAGTTATTTAAAGTTATGTAGGTGTTGATCAGCGGATAATAAAATATTAACCGTCGTTGTGTTGTAAAACAAATGTAACAGTTACATCTCATATAACTTACACTACACGAGTTTTGAAATTTACATAGTCAAGTGTGATTTGTCGTCAGCTTTTGATTTTAAATAGTGAACATGTTATAAAACAAGTCATGAATGATTTTTTCTACACGTACTAATTATAATTCCAGTAAAAGCTCTTTTAAGGTACAAGTTTCGTTTCGTCCAGTAGGTATTTTCAGAGTAAAAAGAAGGGTAAGAAGGGCTCTTCTGCAACCAAACGCAGGCCAATTTAACTTTTATCCCTGATTTGTTTTTGAAACCAGTCAAACCTATCACAAAAGTGATTCCAGAACAAGATTGTCTGGAGACGAACCTGTACTTGATTCTTTTATTAGATCCGAATTATAAATATTAACAAATCTATAGACAATGTGTATGTCATAATTACACAGGCTATTGGGAACATAAAACATTGTTTAAGTATGTATTACCCATGTGTATACAGACTAGGAAATGAAAATGTTTTCATAACATAATTCAAGCCAGCACAATGTTGTTGTATTAGCTACAGTTAATAGCTTACTAAATTCCTACAATTACCTTAAAGTTACTTTTTCTTATCTCCCCTTGGACAAATGTTGTCGTGAAATCTACAAGACATTTAATGACATTTAATAAAAGTCAATAGTACTAAAATAAACTAGTATCTGCCCTTTGAAATGGGATTCCAATACAATAGCGAACAAGTCCTTCCAGTTCAACGTGACAGGGTCATTGAATTTAATTTGTTACTTTGAAAATTGGAGATAAAACTTGTTAAGTGAACTTTGAATGCATGATAAATATCCCAAACCATTTATGGTCAGATTACTAAGATGCTGGCAAGTATTTTATCTAATCATAAAAATCATTGTAAAACGATTGAGAAACTCATCTGTCTGTGTACATAAATATTTTACATTTTGAATATTTAACAATAAGCAATATTTTATAGAAGACAGACTCTTCTAAATTGCTTTTTTGGCTATGTCAGCTTCAAGCATGATGAAACCTCCAATGATTAAATACAACCATCAACTGTTCATTTTAAGTAAACTAGCAAATGTTTTTTTTTAATTTGAGACTTAAGTTATATCAATCTACTTAATTATCCTCGATATTTTTTCTTTACAATTAGGGATAGAATGACATTTCAAGAAAAACAAGAATGCATTTGCCAAAAGCAATGCCATCTCATTAATATAACAGAAGTAGATTTTTTTATGTTACTTTACAATTGAACTTTGCGATAATACAGTAGTGTCCAGTGAATTTGGAGGTCAAGGTCATATTTGAGCATGTCAAATCATTAGACACATGTGCAGATGTGTCTTATATTAAGATACAAAGGCCATAGTTCAATAATTGATTCAAAAATAAAAGAATTTATATTGACAAAAAATGGGTATTAACTGTATAACATAGCTGTATTAAACTTTGAAATGCAGGTACAGTAACTTTTTCTTAGATAACATCTTTTCAATTAAGCATTACCAATTTCTAAAATCAAAATCATTATTATAAACATGGAGCAATGTCCTTATAATGTGCTTAAATTAATTCATTTAATATATCAACAAAGCTTACAACTGCCTTGCTAGGGTTCATGACCTGAATCATTTCATGAATATCTCTGAAAATCATGACTTTTAGACTTACTCCAGCTATTGCATATGTATTAGAGATTCGAATGTTTCCTTTTACACTTTTCTTAAAAAACAGTTTTACTATAGTTTCATAATGAAAATCAATGACCCCGGGGCGGTGCCAATTTTGACCCTATGACTATTTTTGAACAATCTTTGTAGAGGTTCACTACACAATGTTTCATGACAAATATCTTACCTCTAGCCTTTGTCAATTCCGAGAAGGAAATTTTTAAAGTATTTATAATATTGAAATAAGGAAAACCTATGACCCCGGGGCCGGGCCAATTTTAACACTTGGGGCAAAATTTGAACAACTTGGTACAGGACCTGTACATGATAGTATATACCAAATATCAAGCTCTTAGTCTTGTATCTTCATATAAGAAAATTTTCAAGTTTTTACTATATGTACAAAATGAAAATCAATGACTCCAGGGCGGGGCCAATTTGACCCAAGGGCTATAATTTGAACAATCTTGGTAGAGGTCCACTACAAAATGTTTCATGCCAAATATCTAACCCATATCCCTTGTCAATTCAGAGAAGAAGATTTTTGAAGGATTTTCAATATACATATAGGGAAAACATATGTACTTCGGGGCCGAGTCAATTTTTACACTAGAGGCAAAATTTGAACAACTTTGTTAGAGGACTAAAGCTCTGAGACTTGTATCTTCAGTCAAGAAGTTTTTTAAGTTTTAACTTTATGTACATAGTGCAAATCAATGACCCCCTTAGGGCGGGGCCAATCATGATCCAAATACTATAATTTGAACAATCTTGGTAGAGGCTCTACTACACAATGTTTCATGACCAATATCTAACATCAAGCCTTGGTCTATTCCGAGAAGAAGATTTTTTACGAATTTACTAAATACACATATGGAAAATCTATGACCCACACGGCGGGGCCAATTTTCACCCTAGGACTACTATTTGAACAATCTTGGTAGAGGTCCACTACAAAATGTTTCATGACAAATATCTAACTTCTAGCCTTTGTAAATTCTGAGTAGGAAATATTGTTTAATAAAAGTTTTTATAATATTGAAATTAGGAAAACCTATGACCCCGGGGCCGAGTCAATTTTAACAATAGGGGCAAAATTTGAACAACTTTGGTAGGTGACCTATAGATTATAGTATATACCAAATATCAAAGCTCTAAGTCTGGTATCTTCAGACAAGAGGATTTTGCAAGTTTTTACTGTATGTTCTATATGTACATTATGAAAATCAATGGCGGGGCCAAATTGATCCAAGGTCTATAATTTGAACAATCTTGGTAAAAGTCCACTAGAAACTGTTTCATGTCAAATATCTAACCTCTATCCCTTGTCAATTCAGAGAAGAAGGTTTTTGAAGATTTTACAATATACTTATATGGAAAACGTATGTACCTCGGGTCTGGCCAATTTTGACACTAAAGACAAAACTTTGTTAGAAGACCTATAGATGATATCATATACCAAATATCAAAGCTCTAAGCCTTGTATCTTCAGACGAGAAGATTTTAAGTTTTAACTATATGTGCCAGGGGCGGGTCTATTTTAATCTTTTTTAATCCTAGGGCTATAATTTGAACAGCGGTCTACTAGATAGTCTTAGGTATCTAAGCTCTAGGCCGTGTGGGTCTTTACAAGAAGATTTTTTAAAATTTATTCTTATGAATTCCTTTGGTTGGCAACAAGATTTCTGCATAAAATAAAATTCTTTGAACAACTTTTGAAGCCTTTTACCCAAGGAACAATCCTTCCAAGTTTGGTTGAATCTATATAACGCATACACACACACGCACTTACACGCACGCACACAGACACACATACGCAGGCACGCATACACTCAGACACACACAAGCACGCATGCAGGCACGCACACAGGCACGCGCGCGTACACACACGCACGCACACATACACCCACACACACACAGGTGAATCGCTATATCATCGCAGATGCTGCGGTGGCATAAAAAGTAGGTGTCAAACGAAAAAGTTAAGGATATGAAAAGATGGAAATGTAGAGCCCGCTTGAAGGCCCGCACTATGTAAAGAAAACATGTCTCAGCTTTATCTTTTCTAACAAGGCTTTAGTTAAAACAACAACTACAATGTAAATTAGTGTTTTTATTAGCCACGACAACAATAACAACCCAAGGCAGTAAATACAATAGATTTCTTTCCTTTTTGTCTTTCGTTTTGTTTTTGTTTTGGTGGTTCTACTCTTTACACGCTTTCACTCTTTTTTCCGCCGGGGAGTTACTGTTTATCAATGACGTCGATATTAGAGAAGAGATCAATTTACCAATCAGTAGTAGGCGTTAACATAATACAGAATTTTGTTGTATATCTGCTAGAGTATGATTAGCAGAATTTGAACAATGAACAATGATTATAATATAAATATTGATAAGAAAGGTCTGATTGTAACTGTTTTACGATAATAATTTCTTTTATTTATCTGATACATTTTATGTTTTCATGTAACCTACAAGTCAGTCATGTTTATCCATTTCTGGTCAAGGTTTCCGAGCAAGAAAGGTACACTTGTTAATGCAGAAATGCAACATAAGGTTTTTTTCAGCAAAGAGCGAAAACAAAGCCTCAAAACCCGGAAGCAAATTTTTTTTAAACTATTTTTGTACCGCTATTTAACCCACAAGAATTTACCAGTTGTTCAAGATATAGCTGACAGTAACAGCCACACGTAGTACAGAGCATTAAGCATCATAATCTCAGATATAAAAGATTCCACTCAAGAGGAATTTCGATTGCACAAAACAAGAAAAAAGAATAATTGGACATTAAGCTGATAAAATTGGACATTAGAAATTTAACACTGGTGATTATGTACGGATCTTGCATCTGCTCAATGTGTTTACGCAAGGGTATAAAAGACCTACACCGGTGGAATAATTTAAATTAACAAACGATATCATAAAAGAACGTTGTCTATCAATCATCTTTATGAAAGACAGTAAGAAGAAGGCACATTTTACGAGAGCGAGCAACTAACAGAGAATATTGGTCCTGATCAACTGTGGACAATTAGCACTTAAAACACAAAGAAAAGGACAAAATAAGCAACACTTTGTGAAAAGGAAATATTATCCGAAGAAATCTAAATAATTGGTTAATGATTTTCAATAAATCTGTATGTAAATGAGGTGTATATAATTGTACATAATTATGATATATTATGTATAAAAGTAATGTTTTGAAAAATCACACTAGCTAGCTAAACGTTTGTGTCGTTATCTTATTCTGTCTTCGTAAGTGCCATATAGAAGAGACAATTTGATGAAGATTGACCAATAATTGATAGAAATGTTTAGGGAAAATATAAAAACTGCCTAAAATATAAAAAACTGCACCACTCTTCGTATCAAATAAGGGAACCATTCAAAAGAGTATGTAAAGAAATTTCCATGTGCCACGTGGGAAATTGAATATTCATTATAAGTAGACTATAAAATCAAAAACAAATATGGCAAAATGTAAACTTATTTTGTCTTTTATCTGGACATTTACAAGTCGCTTTAAATTTTTAACAATATAAACTTTTCCCGAAAGAGTTGTGTTTTGCCAATTTAAATGAAAAAGTTTTTAATTTTTAAAATGTTTAAACTGCACCGTTCGCTTTAACAGGTAAAACGTTAACCGTTAACGCCACGCTCTTTTGATTTCCAGTTAGCGATTTGAATATGACACAAAATTGTCATAACGATCTTTAATGCCTGTCTGATTCATACGAAAAAGTATTTTAACTCACATTACTGATTGACCTACTAGCATAAACTTTATTATATTGATATACTGACAATAATCACCAGTAAAAAATGTTGCTTGCTTATAAGTCACCTACCGTGGGGACTATACTATGAAGTTGAAGATATAATCAAATCAATTTCTGCAATGACATAAATTTAACTTGGCTAGTACGCTTGGTATAACTTCACTTATAACAATAACGATTTTCTATCTTTAGCTCATGTGACCAAATTTTTGACTCGACATGACCTATTTTCAAACTTAATCAAGAAATCACTAAAACAACCTACCTGGCAAATTTCCAGGAAATTTGGATGAAAACTGCAGCCACTAGTGTGTTACCAAGCTTTTTATACTTTTAGCCCCTGTGACCTAGTTTTTGACCCGAGATGACCTATCTTCAAACTTGACCTCGAAATCATCAAAACAATATTCCTGACAAATTTCCAGAATATTTGAATAAAACTGCAGCCAAAAGAGTGTAAACAAGATTTTTCTACTTTTAGCTCCTGTGACCTAGTTTTTGACCTGAGATAACATATCTTCGAACTCGATCTGTATTCAATTGAGACAAACATTCTGAAAAAGTTTGATGATGATCTTATCGAAACTGTGACTGCTAGACTTTTAACAACCCAATTGTTGACAACGCACAACGAACTACGCCGGACGCCGGACATAGCCCCATCACTATACCTCACCTTGACCATTTCGTGGTCAGGTTAGCTAAAACAAAGTTTATGTTTATCTGTGGGATAACAAGCCAAACAAAATATCTAGAGACAAGATTATTTAGGATTACCGTAATAAGGGCTGAAAATGTTATATATTGAAAGTTTTACATACTCGTGTTGACTGCATGAAATTTCAACGGCACTCAAAATGGGTTAAAGTATATATTAAATAGATATGGCAAACAAAACATACATAAATATAATGCAAACATAAAAGATATTGCAAATCTTGATATAATATCTAGATTTTTAAAAGAGGTACTAAGTGTTTGTCGTATGCAAACTTCAATAAAGAAATAACTGATAATGAAAAAGGAATAATATTGAACAAACAAAAAAATATATAAATTATCAATAAACCATTTATTTTTTTGCGAATGGATGGAAAATTATTGAAACATTATAGGAATAGACAATGTTATTGCTTTAACGAAATACAAAACATTTATGGCACAGCTCAATCCATTTCTTTAAACAAACACCAACTCATAAAATGCGTTCCATTACCAAAAACATGGAAAATAAGATTATAATCTGAAAAGGTCCAATACAGAGCAAATTAAGAGGGTTGTTCGGGAAGTTCTGAGAATTGTTTTATAGCACACGTTGTAGTCGGGTTAGCGTAATTATAAATATATACGCATTTATTTCAATATATACTGTACAGTATCTGAAAATATCATCATCATACACACAGAAACTAAAACATAATAAAAATAGTAAATAACCATATAACAAACACCCGGAGCACGCCGACGTCATTTGCAACGTTATGCGACGTTAAAGTCCATCGATCGTCGCACCTTTTCAACGTAGTCACCTGCAATTTCGATGCATTTCCTGTGAAGGCTGATCCACTTATTGTATGTTTTCACGTACCAGCTATCGGTTAAGGACGAGACTATAGCTTGCGTATGCTTAACAAGATCGTCAGCTGAGTCAACGCGTTTTCCACGCAACTGTGATTTGAGCTCCGGGAACACACGGAAGTCCATCGGAGCGAGGTCCGGGCTGTAGGATCGTTTTCGATCGAGTTTCTTCCTTCTTTAAAACGAGCATGCCATCTATACACTGTAGCCGGACTGCATTTCTTGTATTTTCCTGTAGAATTGATCATTTTCATTGTTTCTGTGGAAGACTTTTCCAGCGCAACACAAAATTTCACGATGCTTCGCAATTCAACGTCACCTATCGACGTCATGTTGTTTACTCAGTGGCTCTGAGCAACAACTTTAAAACAATGTTGATCCGTTGAGAATTTAAATAACGTTATGATATTTTCAGGAAATGATGTCATGACGTTACGCTGCTGACCAGCGTTTTCGCGCATTTTAACGTTATTAAAATTACGAAATATTATTAGTGTAGCGCGTTATACCTTTCTTTAGAGTCGGACTGCTCCGGTGTGGCGTTATAGTGTTGCTATGGTTACTGTTATTTCCAGCTATTGTTGTCTGATTCTATTCAATTTTTAGGAATAGTTCCGTGATATGCTAATCTTAGTATGTGCAAAATATTACGTCTTAGAAACAAAAAATATAGGAGATATGACAAAATTCTCAGAACTTCCCGAACAACCCTCGTACTACTTAGTAATTGATAAATAAAAACTCCAACTTAAAACCTACCGATTTATTTATATTCTGCTTGTTAAAAAAAATACCAAGAAATGGGAAGCAGGACTCTCAACCAGTTATGAATGGAAAAATATATTTCGTCAACTTATAAACATAAAACGATACTAAACTTCGATGTTTCAAGTATTATACCTTATGCATATTTTGTCACAGGGTGACAGATGTGCAGCGGGACCCTCGGAATACCGTACCGCGGCTCTACCGATTGAGCTATCCGGCCGCTTACACAATATCCCCCCTAAAAAGTGAACAGTTCTGAACCGTGACATACTTCCCCGCTGTACTGAAATATGTCCTCGATTTTCTAATGGGTACAGAGAACAAAGTGACATTGGATTCGGAGCTTATTTTATCACATTCGCTTAGAAGGACTCACTGCTTAACTGAAAAGCTAGGTCGATGTCCATAACAGCAAGTGGAGCATATTCACATCATGATAAACACGCTCCTGACTAGAGTCTATTTAATATTATTTTTAGAAGAACGTTTATTTTTGAAAACTGAAAATATATTTTTAAATACTTAAAAATATACCATGCTCTAAATTTCATGTCTACTTTTACAATTTTATAAGCATATTAATGACTTATTTACGCTTAAATGTTGCAAAAATATTCTTCTTATAACTATGCAAAGTAATACACAAAGACCGCCATATTTAAAATCGTTAGTACCTCAATTGGCCTTAGCTGCTTGCAAATGTGTATCTACAGGAGTATAAGGTTATGAAAAGATACGTTCATTGACATTTGCGATCAAACCATAAAAACAAAAAGAAATACCGTATATCAGGTTTTTGTTACTATCTACTTCTCGCTACATTCGGGGGTAATTTAATCCGAGGATTTCTGGAACTTTATTTTCTGCTTCAGATTTGATTTTCGATATTCATGATTGTTATTAATTTTTTATCTTTTCTTGGTTTTTTTGTTGGGTTTTTTGTTTTTGTTTTTTTTTTTGGGGGGGGGGGGTCTTTTTGTGTGTGTTTTTTTAAATACCTATTGAAACTTAAATGGCACAGTGAGCAAACATGTATTCTCGTTTACGCTTATTTAACCGATTGCCCGATAAAATAAGGTAATTTACATCTTGAAAATAGGTATACAGACATATACAGCTTAACAACAACATGCTTACAATAAGGTGAGATGAGACAAGTGTGCAATACTGAAAAGTTAAATATTTGTACGCAATACATCAATAAGAAAATTGAAAACAAATTTTTACTTGTAAAACATCTGACAAAAAGAGTGGTCTCTCTTTAACAACAGATAAAACGCGAAAAAAACAAACATGACAGCAAAATTGATACAATTGGATTCGCAAGAATCAAGAAATTTGCAAAACGCAAAATTAACGTGAGATACTGAGTGATTTGCTTACATTAGATTTTGATTTAAATTACACGTTTATTTCAGCTAGCAAATATAAGTAATTAATAAAACGGCACTCTTAAGTGCACTACCCCTTTCTTATTTTGCGCCATGTTAGTAGTTACTATTTCAGGCTTATTTTGCCCTTTATAGTAGTCTGTAAGGCTACATTTTTAGGGATTCTTTCATTTGTGTATTAATGATCTTAATCACTCATTTTACTAATTGAAGTGAAAAACGTTTTCAAACATACCTTTCGATAAGAATGTTTACAATATCGTGTCTGTTTTTCTTTGCTGCTATATGTAGAGGTGTTCTTTTCTTCTTGTTTCCCATATTTATCTTGTCCTTACAATAATATAATAAAACTTTAAACGTATCCAAATTATCTCCACTTGCAGCAATATGCAAAAGATTATTTCCATCTTCGTCCTCTCCAATGTCCTTTTCGTTTGATTCTTCAAAGAATGTCTTTAAATCATTACCTCCCTCTCCTAGCCTAAGGCACTTTGAAATAACATATGACACGAAATTACTTCAAATTTAAAATGTTCAATGTATAATAGACTATGTTATTCTCATTTGCAAATCAGTTAATAAAAATGAGTCATGATTTCTGTTTAAGCGTTTAAGTTAGTCTTGAGTAACCACTAATATAAATAGGCTAGGGCCAGAACCTGTTACAATTTGAACTTTAGCCGTTTTTGGCGCTCTTTGAGGTTTTCATTGTTTCTTTTCTATAATAAACGTGATATAATTATTCTTACATATATCGATACATAAGAAATGAAATCATCAGACAGACTTCATTATGCATTCATCAGGTAAATTCTATATTAAATCAAACTACTAAAAGTTCTTTTGGACTATGGTCATTGGATGCCGAGTATGTATTGCGTCAGGACAGATACTACACATTGGTCATTAAATGACATCACACCACTTTACTTTGCTCCTCAACATTATTGGTGTGTACTATTTTATGTTGAAAATAAGCATGTGGATAAGAGGTGTTCACACAGAAAACAATAATAAAAAGGTATTTGAAGTAAGTATGTTTTTATCACGATAGCTAACCTATGATTTAATGTCAAATGAAGGGTCGACAATGAAATAAACTAAATGTCAAATATAAAAAGTAAATGCAATCTAGAGTCAATAAGAAAAAAGTTGAATGCAATCGTACTAACTAGATATAAGTCAATTCATTAGCAAATATTTGATTTTAATATTTGCTTTTCTCATTTTAATCCAGAATAATTTTATTTCTTGTTAAACCTTAATTTCATTTTTATTCATTTAGCAATTAACGGCACTTGAAAATATTGTTATATATTCGAAAAGAATCCAAACCTCAAAAAAATAATCTTTGTATGACTCGTCATCTGTGTCATTCTCTATACTGCTTGTGTAAGTCCCCTCACTGTATGTGCCGTTCTCTTCGTCATTCTCTTCACTGTATGAATCATACTCTTCCTCACTGTCTGTATGATTCTCATCAATGTTTGTATCATTCTCTTCATCCTCTGTATCATTAGCTTTGTCCTCACATGTTTCTTCATTCTACAATTTCCGTTTAGAAAAAAGAATATTTATAAACAATTGTGTAAAATATGAGAAACTTTACAAAAAATATATAGAAAACCACTTCATAAAAAGTTTTTTAAGTCAATAAAGTCATTTACCAATCAGTATTAAATAGACGTTCAAATAAGACAGACATTTATTTATATATCTGCTAGAGCATGATAAGCAAAATTTTAACAATGAACAACGATTATAATATGTAAATTAATATTATTGTCGGATTGTAACTGTTTCCCGACAATAATTTCTTTTATTTATCTGATACATTTTATGTTTCATATAACTTATAACTTTCAAGATAGATTTATGTTGATACATTCTATTGGTCAAGGTTTCCGAGCAAGAAAGGTACAATTGTTAATGCAGAAATGCAACATAAGGTATTTTCTAGCGCAGAGCGAAAACAAAGCCTCAAAATCCGGAATCAACCTTACTAATTTTTAACTATTATGGCACCGCTATTTATCCAACAAGTATGTACCAGCTCTTCAAGATTCTTCATTTAAATTAAATGTGAAAGCTAGTGAGAGATTTCAATAATATATCACGATGACCAGAAGTAGTTCCTAATGCTATACCGTTCACCGTTTTTTCTTTCTCTTTTTCTTTTTGTTCGAGTCCAAACAATCAGGGTAACCCCATTTATTTTCCCCGTCCAAATGATCAGTATGGGTCGGGGAACCATCCCATACTGACCTTACAAAATTCTCTTGTTCTGAACTGTACCTTATACTCTGATTCTACTGACTTGTAAATAATAAATACATTATTACAAGTATTTAAATATTTGATCCCACTTGGGTTCTGCCTGTGTGTAATTTACGATAATCATTATGGAATATATAAAAGTAATGTTTTGAAAAGTCAGTTTTAGGTAAATATAAAAACCGCCTAACTGCACAACTCTTCGTATCAAATAAGGGAAGCATTCTGAAGAGTATGTAAAGACATTTCATGTGCCAATGGGTAATTGAATATGCATTAAAGGTAGACTGTGAAATCAAAAACAAATATGGCAAAATGTAAACTTATTTTGACTTTTATCTGGACATTTACATTTCGATTTAAATTTTTAAACGATATAAACTTTTCCCCAAAGAGTTGTGGTTTGCTTATTAAAATCACAAAGTTTTAATTTTATCTAAGTATTTAAAATGTTTAAACTGCACCGTTTGCTTAACAGGTAAAACGTTAACCGTTAACGCCACGCTCTTTTGATTTCCAGTAAGCGATTTGAATATGATGCAAAGTTGTCATAACGATCCTTAACGCCTGTCTGATTCATACGAAAAAATAGTTTAACTCACATAACTGTTTGACCTACTAGCATAAACATTATAATATCAATATACTGACAATAATCACTAGTAAAAAATGTTGCTTGCTTATAAGTTACCT